GGAACACCACGACAGTCAGGAACACAGTGAACGCCGCCAGAAGGAGGAACTTGACCAAGCTGATTACGTTTCGCCTCATCTTCGCGAGAGGATCATGTCTCGCGAGCCTCTCTAACGAAGACTACGGGCACAATGCTCGTATTCATAGTCAGGTCTTATATTTAAGGTTTCCTTAAATTTATCTTCAATTGGGCTCTATGAATTATTTTACTGGCTATCGAGCATCTAAAGATAAATTTAAGGAAGCCTTAAATATAAGGTCTGACCGATCTGATTATATAAATATAGACATTAACCTCACCTCTTATGACTTATCTCGTCGCGTGAACGTGTCAGACGCAGGCGGGTCTTGCAACGTGAATAGACGGACGTATTGTCCGTCATCACCGCTGCGCGGCGACCGGGAGATCTCGAGTAACGAGTTGTATCGTTGTATCTATTGACTTTACTCGACTGTACTCCCGCCTGACGATCCGGCGAAAGCATAAAGAACCGATGTAACAAACGGCACGCACGATTGCCATGAACTGCCACTTGCTGCAAGTTGCAATTGCTGCACGATGACCGATATATTAGAGGAGTGGGAGATTACCTTTGTGAGAAAGAAACTTCACTAAGAAAATTTGTTTTTTTCTATCCGGTTCCGCCCGCGTGATCTCACCTATTCGCCCATCTCTTGCCATTTGTACGAATTTAATGTTAAATTCTTATCGATTAGCAATGATCGAAATTTTAATTATTCTTGCATAATTCTATGCACAAATGTATTTTTAAATAAGAAATAATAAGAATTTAAGAAATAATAATTAATTTTAAGGAAATCATTTATATAAGTAGTCTTTTGCTAAAAATAACTTCAATGAAATGATTAATTTAATTGATTGTTAATTTAACCGATAAAATAATCGCTCGAAGAAAAATTTCCAATTATAATGTATAATTTATATTGTATAATTTATTACCTTTTCTATTTTGTTTTCATTGTTTCAAGCAAAAATGTATACTTTTATTGTTACAAAAAATTATTCATTAATTGAATTAATTGGCGATTAATTTAATCAACAAAATTATTTGCATATTTCTAATTTAACTGGTTTTTTAAATTTACAATTCAAGCAAATAAAATATTGCTGACATTGTTTTGATAAAAATTGTAATTATCAATTAACTTAATTGCGTTTAATTTTATTAACGAAATTGCTTGCCTCTCTAATTATTCTCTGATCTTTTTTTCCATATTTCAAGCAGCAAAAATGAATAATTTTATTTTCATGCTTATAAAATATAAATATCATATAATATATATAATGTAATTGCTATTTAAAATTAATTTTTGATTAATTATAAGTTAACTGAAGTCGAAATCATCCTCGGAGAAGATCCAAACCTTTGATTTTGTTTGTTTAAAATTATTTCTAAAGTTGAATTTCGAAAAGTTAACTTCGATTAGAAATATCGTTGTTGGATATGATCTTGTTAATTTGTTTTAATATGTTTTACCTTGATTTAGTTTCTGCAACGGTAATTTGCGACGTCACATCGTTCTGTACTTTTTGCTATTGAAATTATAGCGCGTTATATCGTTGCATTATTCCAACTGTAATACTAGTATTGTAAATCTCGATTTCACCTGTGAGATTACGTCATGTGACCTGTTTTTGCAACGCGTAACCTGTCATTATCTGTATTATTCGTAACTTATGCAGCAGATCTTCTTGTGAAAGATACATATGGAAGTAACAATTAATAAACATACGCAATTCTTTCGTATTATATTATTTTTGTCGTGACATCATTTGTGTTGTTTATTGTCATCTTTTGTTAAAAGATATAAGACGTTTAAAAATTTTATATAATTGTTAATTAACTTTTATCCTTTTTCAACAATTTAAAATTGTACATATAAAATATGTACCATTTAAATAGTTGACATCTTGACGAGACATTTAATAGTACCATTTTATTATATGTCTAATAATATATATATATATATCAGTGTGTATTATAATTTATTATAATACACGCGGATAGAACTATTAGTGTTTTGTTGTTCAGTATATGGAAAAAATATTAGCTTAAAAATAATGAATTATAATTTATTATAGTTAGAAATTTTTTGCTTTAAGCTTCTGCTGGTTCATTTAATCACTTAAGTTTTCATATATACATACAACATACATACATATATATGCGTGCGTGCGTGCGTGTGCGTACGTGTGTGTGTGTGTGTGTGTGTGTGTGTGTGTGTGTGTGTGTGTGTGTGTGTGTGTACATAAACTTCAGTTAATTTAATCGATTAATGCTCATTTTCACCAATGTAGATTAACTTTAATCTCGATTCAATTTGCTCTTCATCTTTTTCTAGTTCTAAAGATTAGAAAAAGAATAAGTTGAATTGAGATTAAAGTTAATTTATATTGATGGACAGGCATAATTCAACCAGCAGATCGCTTAAAGTAAAATTTCTAAATTGAATGAAACTGTTCGAATATTTTTATTATACATATAATAAATTTTTATTATACATATAA